TCAAATTATTTTTTAGAAGATCCGGAACCGAACCGGCTCGTTCTAAACGATTTCGGTCTGATTCCATCGATTATGGGAAAAAGTGCCAACTCCTATTTAAAACCTTGCTTATGACTTGAACTTTGCAATTGAGATCTTAAATAATAGAGTAATGCTATTCATAGTTGCTCACTGTGATAGTCATCCTACATGGTATCCTACATGACAGTTTGTGATTTGATATATTAATGTGGTAATTTTTTCTTACCACATATATCAAATCACTAATCGCCACATGCATATCACGTAGCGCGACTGCGGTAATGAGTGACTGCAAATGTATTATTACAAATAAGAAATTAAGAAATTGAATAAAAAAATTCGCATAGCAAGAAAATTAAATAACCAAATAACAAATAATTTACTGTAAATGTTTATTAATTTTGGTAAGCCACATTCCTTAGCTGAACATCACAAGAGAGAAAGCAGACTCATAGTTAGGGCTGGGCAAATCTCCCGAACCAAACCAATCGAATCGAACTCGGATCGAATCGAACCGAACCAGAAGGTTTTTGTCAAATTAAATACCCGAACGGGTATCTGAATTGAGAACTAACGGGTACGGTTCGATTCTCGGTTCTAGACCAGGAACCGAATAAGAGCCGAATCTTTTTAATTTTTTTTATATTGAATAAATGAAATGAATTTAATTTTAATTTTTTTAAACAAATTAACAAATTAACAATTTCTAAATCCAAATTTTTTGCCCAATAATTTGTTTCATTTCTAATTTTTTAATTTTTGGCCCAATTATCCATTTTATTGTTTCATTTCTTAACCAACAATGATCCAACCCACTAAATAACCCTAAACACCTACACTAAAGTGCATAACACTGTCTCGACTCTCGTACTCACTCTTGCAGCCTCGCTAACATTCCAAAACCTATACAATCGCCTATCGACACTGTAACCTTCGATCGAAGTTTCGACCTCCGCCGATCGAAACTTTGACCGTAGCGATCATTTGAGTAAGGTAATCTACTAGTCTCTGACATTCCAAAACCATTGAATGTGTCATTAGTTGTATTTATATAATGTTGTTATAAATGTTAAAAAATCTAATTATAGTATGGAACCGAACGGAGCCGAACAGAATCGAACCCGAACGGTTCCATAATTATATTTGAACCCGACGGTTCCATTTACTAGATACTCGAAAATTGTGGTTCGGTTCGGTCCTCTTTAGAATCGAACCGAACCAACCCGACCCGCGCCCACCTCTAATCATAATAAATTGCTAGGTATTTTTTTTCTTAATTATACAATATTTTTCTGAATCTAACCCAATATGTCTTAAAACATTACAGAAATTTATAAATGGACTCACATATGTTAATTGATTTACATGCTAACATGGCAAAGAAATGACCCAAAGCAATATTAGAAGATTGGCACATTCACAAAATTGTTAAAATTATTTTCCTTCTCTTAATATGCTATTAAAATTTTGAATTCTTAAAACTGACTTCATAAAGTGGATTTAAAAAAAAAAAAAAATTCATATTGAAACGATAAATATGGAACATGCTCACGTCTTCTACAAGAAACGTGCTTGACTAAGTTGGTAATATATGATGCTTAATAACAATTTTTTTACATAAACAATAACCCCAATACAAGTTTCAATGACGTCAGTGTCTTGTATAGTAGAATTGACCTCAAAATGTTTTATTCCAAATTAAAACCATAGCTACAAGATTGGTTGTTTATTTTGACAGATAAAACGTACAAAATAAGACAAACGGTTACACGATGTCACCTTTATAAATACTAGTTGTGGGTTTTACATCCCAAATCGTCACTATCAACTGACAGTGATGCTGTTCGATTTAAAAACGATTATTACATACCAAAAATACAACTGTCATAAGTCTTTTGACATGACTGCATTTATAAATGAGATGTTAGCGAAAGGTACACTCGTTATCTTGCTTTACAGCACGACTCATACTAAGACATCATGTTATTAAGGTGTGGTAGAGAAAATCGAATCTATCCTTTTACGTGGGAGTCTAAGGTCGATATCAGTGTAACTCGACGGTGAATTAATGCTAAATAAACGATTGGTGAGTGGTACCTTCCGCCAACATGAGGTCCATAAAAACCGCACAGAGCTTACATTATTTAATAATTATAAAATTTAAGATTGGAGAAACCTTAGTCGAATAAATAAGGTGAGGAGAATGATAGAATAAAAATATGGGTCACTCTCATCTGACGTGGCATTTTTTGAACAAATGAGAGGCCTTGTTTTTTCTAGCCACTCAGGAAATTTTATGATTATATTATATCCGACAATAGCATTAAGAATAAATAGCCAAATATTTTATATTTTCGCGGCTAACAAAACCTCAAATCCGGTACATATTGCAATCATAACATGTTATATTACATTTTATCTTATTTTAATGGCATGTTTGGTAGTGATTATGAGAATTGATTTTTGATCGTTAGAGCGAAAAGTGGGTCCCACCTGTGAGAGAAAAAATAAAAATGACGACTGAAATAATAAAAAAAAGTCAAAAAATTGATTTTTTTGGAATGAAAAATTGTTACCAAATAGGGGCTAAGTAAATTTTGAAGTCGATTATATGAATTATCTTTGAAAGACCTCGTGTTAACTTAGTATCTTTAGGGCATATTTAATACACATTATTATATTAAATAGCATGTGACGAATGAATTTTTATTTTAATTTTGTTTTATTTGTATATCAAAATATATATGTTCTTTGGTTGACAAAAATGATTTCACTTATACTCGAAACCATGCTTTGAAAAGTTCATGAGATTGATAACATTACACTGTGTTCGTGTAGTTCAATAGATTTAATTTCACCAGAATTCTAAGTACATGCCCAAAACGTAACCAAAAAGCTATAATACGAAAAAATACAAGGATAATGATACACGAAGGCAAAAACTAGAGTTGATCGAGTAATCGATTGTAGAAGAAGAAAATGATAAATTGTTAGGTGGGAATTAAGAAAACTTATTGTGGCTGTCATAGGTAATGATTCTACTACGATTCCACAAATTTGTAAACTAATCCTAAGTAATCATTGTGCATTTAGTAAATAATTTAAGTAGTCGATTTATATTGGCACACATGTAAAATATGAAAAGAAAACTATAGATTTCTTTGCTAAATTGTGGTGTCTATCACTTCGTAATTTTATTTTAAAAATTTACTACTTTACTCGAATGGTTGGCATTCTCTCACATGTTGTGGGTTCTGCATGAATAAAAAAATTAACAAAAAAAAGTGGGACCTCGTCATTGTGAGAGTCAGTCACCCTCTCTGTTAAAAAAATTCAAGCACTGTAACGGGATTGTTTATTTTAAGACATATTGCTCAACGTACATGGAGGCCAGTGGCGAAGGGAGGTGAGGACTTGTAGGTACCTTGGCTTCATTGAAAATTTAGAAGAAAATTATGATGATTTTTCTATGTTATTTTATTTTATTATAATTATATTTTATGATTGGAATTTTTTTTCATAATTAAGTTAGATCCTTAAATGGATGCCATCGTCGAAGAGTAGAAGATTTCGCCTCCTTTATGTCGTTGTTATACTATATTTATCAATTAAAATAAAAGATGACTAAATTGTAAATATTAACACCAATTGTATTATTATTTGCAAGCAAATAATAGTTATATTATATTTGGTACCTAAGTGTAGGTTTAGGTCTCAATTCACACCAACCCACACCATATATTAGAAGTTACATTATTCAAGGGGCTACACGCCATAGATTCCGTGCTTGATATCAATACCAACCCACCCCATGTATCATAAGTTACATTGTAATATCCTAAATAAAATATTTTTTTTGTTAATAATAAAACATTATCAATTCGTTTATTGTTATTATTATTATTATTATTACTACATAGCATACCAGGCTAATAATTTTTTGCACTTCAATTCATTGACTTTGCGTTCTGTACGTCATGTTTGGTTCATTATACTGGTTGAGCAAGATAAAAAAAATAAAAATATTCATTAAACTTATCGATTATCCTGTTTGACGAACTTAATTTGATTAATAATGCACTTGCAAGCAAATCTTGATTAGTTAATAAAAAAGAAGAAAGGGTGTTTATTATTTTTCAAGTAATGATAAATCAAGCTGGCATAGTTTGGCCCCTTTATCATAATATGAAGAATTAACACGAGGGCTGCTCAAGGTCCTTGGACTACTATCTTTTTTCAATGAATTAGTCTACTTGTACAATCATAGTTGACAATGATTCTTGATAATGTTTGATGTGGTAAAATCTGGATAATCGATTTAAAATTTTGGTTTTAAATTTTTTTTTGAAATGAATAAATGTGATGATGATTGTTAACAAACATTGTTAATCATTATTTTAAATATAGAATGATTGTTTTTTAATTCATGCCAATATTGTAAATAGTAAGATGATCCTTTTACTATACAACTTATTTAATAAAAGCTCTAGATAATCATTTTCGGTCGGGTTTAAAAACAATGAATTTAACCTTATTATTGTTTATGAAAAGAAGTTTAACTTTCAACAAGATGATATAAAGTAGAAATCGTGATAATTTAGAATTTAACTAGTCGATAACATTGTACGTACCACTTATATTAAAGAAATCATGGGACACTCTCCTAGTGGTCCCTCTCTTTGCAGTGCTAACTTGCCTACCTACCGAAAAATGATAATATTCGATCCCCTATATATTCTTATAACATATATTAATCTTTTTATTTATTTTAATACAATTGCACATCTATGATATTACATTATCATTTTTCTTGCAACTTTCGAGGGAAAAATCGATAAAAAAGCAAAATAATAAATTGTAGTTTAAATTTAAATTTAATCATTTAAATATAAATCACTAGCGAACAATGATATATTTACAACTTTTACAATTAGAGTTCTAATATATTATTTCTCATACTACAACCTAGTACAGTACAACTACCACTTAACGCCACAAACTGGGGCGGCGTTTATCCGCCGTCGACTGTCCCACAATCTAACAACGCTGCCGTCAAGAACCGTTAAGTCCTGGTACTGGTACCAACCCATATCTCCCATTTTAACAATCATCATCCTCTCCCAATCATCGCACCACCGTCCCATTTTCTCAGTCACTACCGGTTCACCGCCGTGATCACCACCCTCACCCGTCCTACACTCATCCTTATCGCAATAATACAAAGTAAACTTCCGTTTCGTACTACCTTCTCTCTCTAAAACTCGGCATTTCGTATTTGAACCCGGGAAATACTCAGTATTAGATTGAGTTGAAGAAACTGTCGCCATCTCATCCTCAGCCACCACCGCCTCATCCATCCTTAACGGCGACGATGAAGAAGTCGACGCGCCATCTGGGCTTCTGCCACGTGGAACCAAATGTGAAGATGATAAAGCTCTGATCCTCCACAAGCTAACGGCGGCAGTTAAAACAGCAACCCACGGCCATATGCTGTTAACGGCCGTCAATAAGCCATCGCTCAAGTTATTAAAAGCTAGAGCTTCAAGCGGAGAATCCAATGAGTTCATCTTCAAAAACACCCCGCCTCTCTCTTTCTCTATATCTCGTTATTTCCTCTCTCTAAAAACTGAATTTAAGGTGGGGTTTTATAGAATTAACAGATGAAATATGAGCCGTACGATGAGATTTGAAGAAAGTATCTGACTATAGATGCTGAGAATCGAAAGGGTAGATGCCAATTGTTAATGTTTGATGTAATATTTATACCGGAATTTTCAAAAGAAGTGGACAATAATTGATATGTGCATATGACCACAAGATGTATTTGTACTGTGTAATAACTCGATCGTTGTTGGGGAGATGAGACGCGTGGAGTTATTTTATTGGTTTATGCCAAATCAAGTTGGTATTTACGTATTTCTCTATTATTTCTTATCCTCTAATTGTGTCTCGCTTTACCGTATGGGGAAGGTTAATTTTTCTAGAACTCACATGTTAATTATATATTTGCCATCAACTTCGTTTAATATTTACCAAATATCGACTAGAAATCAAATGGAAAGCATTTTTGGATATTTGTGTGTCGATTGATGGTTTTAACTCTTACATATAAGATATACACAATATAAATTACTTGCAATTACTTCTTTCAGTAGACTAGTTAGTCGTGTTAATGTTTTGATATTTTTGTCATAGCATCCATTAGGCACCAATCGATCGATGATGATAGCTCTCAGTATTATGCATGCCGTTCTAAACAAATAAATGTGACAAATAATAGTTTAAAAATTTATAAATTTTGCATTCGTATTTTTTACTAAATTTTCATATAAAAAAAAGGTCTTTTTTTTTCCTTTTCTTTTTAATTAGAAAAAAGCTATATTCTTCCTTCCTGCAACAATTCATTGATTTAAGTATCGAAGCATTGTCACGTGTTTTTTTTTTGCCATGTTTGTGTAAGCATGACACAACGTCAAAGTTTAATGTTCAAAAAATTTAAGTTTTAATGAAAATAAAAGTAAATTCAAACCTCTTCATTGATAACTACATACTCAATTACAAACTTTCACATTAGTCAATAGATTAATCTTCATTATACGAAATTCTCAAACATTTTAGTCGATTGTCCATGCATCCAACTTAGTTATTGAATGTGGTAACATATGAATGATTAAACCAGGTTGTGTGATAGTCAAATGTTAGGTATGATATGGAAAGTTGAAACTTAAAGAAGACCGCTAGCATTTACTATGTAGTATTATGGATTATATTTTGTGGATATATGCACGAGTTTGGGTATATATGTTATATACATACAATAGGATAACATTAAGGAAGAGATTTTTTATGATAGGGTTTATTAAAGTGTCACGTACAGTTATGTTTAATTTAATGTTCTAAGCATATTGTTAGTATTGTTGATCTTGTTTTTTGCAAGGATGATGTAGCCAACAAATCTTGGTTCCACTTACGTCCACCTATTTGTTCTCCTACACACTTGGACATATTGTTAAAGCACATGGCCTTCTTCGATGGTGAGGAAAGCGACTGCAAGCACTTGATGATCAGTCTATATGTGAATATGTATTTGGGTTTGTGACATGCTAAAGACGTAAACAATAGAAATGAGTTCGAATTCGGGAGTATATAGAGAATATTGATAAGGGAGCAATGTTATAGTAGAGTGTATAAATATTCATTACCTTCAAATGGCATTAAGTGTGAACTTTTATAGTAGGAGGGGAGAAATAATGACCGTTGGATGAAGAAATACGTTGCCTCATCTTAACGGTCAAGGCGCCTTGTCATATGTATCATTCTGTCCTACCTAAGGTCAAGACAACTTTATGTTTCTGACTGTTTGCAACCCTATGACCTAGGCCAACATGTAAGTACTAGACTTGACAAGTGACTTGGTAGAATGTCGCTGTAGTGAGTGGTTGCATCAATAAATCACAGGAGATCTTGTACTGAAAATTCTTGCAGTGCCTCGCATTGCTTTACCTCGTCCATCAAGGTTCTGCCTTACCATAAGTGTTCAACCCCTTCATGGGGTTAGCGCATCATGGGAGTTTGACGAAATCGCTCTATAGGCAAGGTGATGTGGAATATGGGCTTGAGTTCGTTTGTTATTGGCCATTTTAGAGCTTTACTCGATGAGGTGTAACAATGATTAGAAAATTGAACACATTTTAATGGAAACATAGCATGTTGATGCTATCTAATTAAATTAGTAATTGCTTAATACCACAAGGAGATCCGAATTCTATTTTAGAGGTGTATTTGAAGATCGTTGTTTGTATTGGAGGAGTCTTGAAGAAGTAAAAGACGAGGAGGAGAATGTTTCTCAATTTTGTCAGTTTTCTCTCATATTTCAACTCAAATACTCTGTTATGGATTTCACATATTGTAATAAGACTTCACTTTGTATTAGAGTCTTGTTTATATTAATTCTCCTAGTATGTTAGTGATTCTTTGATTATTAATATATGGTAAACAATACATATTAAGATTGACCAATTGTTTAACTTATTAGTTTGGTCCAAAGAGATCTTTTGAATCCCCCATATTTGATAGTAGTGAATTTCTCCTCCCTTGTCTATGTTTTTTCCTTGGATTTTCACGTAAATCTTATGTTCTTGTGATTGTTATTTTCATCTTGTTCATTATCTTGTCTATAATATACATAACAATTGGTATTGGCTCAATTTCTAACAAGTGGTATCAAAACGATTGCCGATTTTCTAACAAGTGGTATCTAAGCCAAGGTTCGATAGTTCCTGGGAAAGCCAGTGTGATTTCGTATTAGAATGAGGTTTTATCCACTCGGAACAAGGTTTGATTATTTTGGAATGGTAAGTATGAAGTTTGAAATTTCGCTTTTGGATCATAACAACAGATTTTCGTTATGGTAGATTTTTGTTTGGATGTTAGAGAAAAAGTAATGTAAGGATCAAGTTGTGATAAAGGGGTAAAGAGAGTCCCAGTTATATGTTTTGGAAGGTTCGACGATCACCTTTGATGATGCTGTCACTAAATTGAAGAAAAGAGATACTAGACATTAGGAGAGGTTCATTGTGGTTGATTTGGTTGCTTATGCATTGATAAGCATTGACTCAGAAGATAGCCGTGTTGTTCGTGGGGATAATTCGAGCAAATTTGTAAGCTCAGATGGAGTTGGTTCTGATTGGATTGCTCATGGTGATAATTTGAGCAAATTTGAATGAAAATCCTGCTACTAGCTCAAGTAGATTTAGTTGTGAACTTGATTATTTTGTTGTTCTTGGTGATTCGAACAAGTTTGGTACTCAGGTAATTCTACTGATAAGCATGCTTAGATTTAGTTCACAGTTATTGAGTTTGCCCTTATGAGCTTTGTAGAAGAAGTGGAATAATTTGTTTGGAGTGTTCCTTTTGGAGATTTTTATTTGGGGGATTGTTGAAGAGTTAAGTTTTATTCCTTACCGTAGAATCTGTGTCGAGATAAAGTTTGTTAAAATTTGGGGGATTGTTGAAGAGTTAAGTTTTATTCCTTACCGTAGAATCTGTGTCGAGATAAAGTTTGTTAGAATTTCGGTATGACTCAAATTCTATTTTGGAGATATATTTGGAGTTAGATTGTTTATATCAGGAGAAGTTTTGAAGAAGTAAAATAAGATAAGGAGAAGTATCTCTATTTTGTAGTTTTTCTCTCCTATTTCAACACAAATACCTTGTTATTAGTTTTACCTATTGTAATAGGACTTCACTTTGTGTTGTACTCTTGTTTGTATCAATTCTCTTAAGGTGTTAGGAATTCTTTGATTATAAATATGTGGTGTACATCACATATTGAGATTGACAAATTATTCAACTTATTAATTTGATCTAGAGAGATTCTCTTTAATCCCCCCTATTTGATATTAGTGAATTTCTCTTTCTTTGTCTATGATTTTTTTTCCGTTTTGAATTTTCCCGTAAATTTTGTTTTCTTGTGATTGTTATTTTTATCTTGTCCATTATCTCGCATTTAATATTCATAAAAATTTGTATTTGCTCAATTTTTAACAAGTGGTATCGGAGATATCACCGATTTTCTAACATTTTGCCTACTTGTGTGCAAAATTGATGTACATTTTGCCTTTGAAGAAAATATAACAATGATCGATGAGAATCGGTCCTGTTTTGCTACAAGAATGTATAATTAGCAATAATTATTGTAAAATCCATTAACTTATATTTATTTATGAAAAATAACGAGTTTTCTAACATAGTTAATATTTTTTAACTTTAGTTTGTTGAATGTGGTGGGTGAGATATGGAATTGCCAATAATGTGGTGGGTGGGGAGTGACTCCCCTTGCATGCAAATAGCGTGGTGAAGATACCTCTCGTGTTAATCTAATCTCTTTGAACCGTACAAGATAGTTTTGGTGATCTTTCTTTCTGGCCGACTACTTTTATTGTTCTACTGATTAGAAGCATCCAACAAATGTATGTGCGAGAAGACAAAGAAGGGCTAGGGTCCTCATTCTAGTAATAGGCAAATCCCCAACTGTTAGGAAGAATGAATCAGTGGAGTGGGATGGATATGTGGTGGGGAAGAAGAAGGGTGATCATTCAATTTCCCGCAAGTAAATGGGATCATGAACAAGTAATAAAGTAGTGAATAAAGTGTCGAACCCATGATGACTATGTATTTGATTGTGTCAAAATTAATTGCAACTTTAATCAAATAGAAAACAAGTTTCGTGATTTCTTTAATATTAATATCTAAATTATCAATTAAATTGGTGAAAGCCAATAAATGTGTTTTTCAAATATGTGAGATGCATTGCTAAAATGTCAAATCCCCTTGTTATTCCATTTCCAGTGTAACAATTAAAGTGATAATTTGAAATCATTCATGTTAGTCAATAATCTTAATTTAATTGAAAGCCTCTCTTGATATTGATCAAATATATTCCTCTCATTTGACTATTCTATCTCTCTAGTTCAAGTGGACTTTGCTAATTGCAAGTTAACACATCAATAAATAAGAATTTTTCAATCCTTTGATTGCTTCAACCTTCACAACTAGACTAGGCTAA